CCCGGCCCGCCGCCCCTGCCCCCGGCTGGCGATGAGATCCCGAGGCTCCCGCAGCGGAACCTGTCCCTCACCTCGTCCGCGCCGGCCCTGTCGTCGGCCGGGCGGTCGGGCCCTCTGCCGCCTCCGCCCAACGAGAGACCCCCACCCCCGGTGCGGGACCCACCGGGCAGATCAGGTAAGGGTTCGGGCAGAGGGTGGGGCGGCGCCCTCGAGCCCCGCCGCGTTCCACGCATAACCCAAAGTGCAAGCAAGCAAAAGCTTAGTAAACCCTCAGACTGCTTCCCACCTGTAGGTGATGACCTGCTTGGTGCCTTGAGACGCCTGCAAACCTTTGAGGTTTGAGTTGTGCTTTGAATAGATAAGCAACACTTAACCATCACAAGCCAATTAGTAACAGAGGCTGAGACTTTCTGTCTCTGCGCCACCTGAAGGTCAGCTCAGCCGCCTTCGCCCTTCTTGACAATTAGGTCTCAGTCCTGCAGGATTCCAACATGAGGGCAGTTATGTCATAGCGAATGAGCCGCATGTTAGCCAGGCCATGAGACCTCTTCCCTGCTTATTAAATACAAATATACAAAAGTCCGTGTTGAGCTTTGTTATCACTTTCGGTACCAAAGGTATGGTCTGTAGACCTTCTCTGTATAGGAATTGTCATAGTCATAAAATCAGAATTAGTATAGTGGCAAGACATGTAGCTTGGTGGTACAGCCCTTAGCCTAGCAGGCATGAGGCCCCCAGTTCTATCTCCAACACTAGCGGGGGGGAAATTGCATGCTATTTTCTGGCTAGACAGGCCCATCCAGGCCCAGCACAGACTAGCCAGCTTATTTAAGGGAAAAACTTTCGGAATATGAAATAAAATGGAGGATCCCATACAATTAGCTCTTTTCTAATTATAATAAGCATTTTTAATAGATTTATCTTTACAGTCATTATTGATGGACTTACTACAACCATCTACCTTTTAAGTGCCACCTTACCTTGAATACCTCCTCATGTCTGGAAATGGGGTGGTTTGTCTCTGAAAGTTAATTGACCTTTGACCCGAGGACCCTAATAAGCACCATTGTTTGAATCAGTGGCCCTCAGACTTAATGGTACAGTAGAGTTACCATGGGCCGCTTCCCAGGAGGAACTGGTCAGGGATGCAGAGTAAGTGTCAGGATATTTAAAGGTTCCCCAGTGCTAATAATGTACAGTGGACCTCGAGAACCACTCACTCAAATCACTATGCCTTGGAGAATGGACTGCATATACTAAAAATTTACCAGTCCATTCAATCCGATCCACAGCCATAGTGGCCTGTCATTAAGGTATCTTCAGGGAACAAATGAGATCAGGTATTCAGTGAGTGAAATGTCACATTTCTTTTGATCCAGCCTCGAGGAATTTTCCTGCAAAATGCTTGAAGGCCTTTTCATATGACTATCAAGTGGATGGATGAGGTTATTAAATCTTTCCCCAAATATCATAGGCAGTGACATGTAACATGTTTTCTTTCTTTGATTACGTAGTCATGCCAGTTTCATTTAGAAATGGAGGGAAGCATACAGAATATAAAAATGATTTTAATCCTACCATCACTATCCAGAAGTCATCAGTAATAACGTGTTTACATGGCTTTTCACACATCTTTTTAACATCTCATGTATCTTTTCAATCTGTTCAAATGCAGACTTACACATTTGTAACTCTGGTGTCACCCTGAATATACTGGTAACTTGGCTTTTATTTAACAACATTTCACTAACATTTTCTGGTATGAGTAAATATTCTACAACCTGATTTTTAATGGCTATGTAATATTAGATCCTACAAGCATACCTTCATCTCTTGAGCCTCCCAAATGTACCCTCCCCTGTTATATTGGCCACCTCTAGATTTGTACTGTTGCAAATAATGTGGTGATACATTCTGGTTGCTAAGTATTTGTGCATAACTCTGTGTTTGCTTTGAATGAATTCCTGGAGACAGAATATTCGGGTTCAAGATTATACATAGCAAAACTATGGATTTTATAGGTAGTGCCAGCTTGCCTTTCAGAACTTTCCTACCATATACATACCAAGGGCCATCTATATATATATATATATATATATATATATATTTTTTTTTTTTTTTTTTTTTTTTTTTTTTTTTTTTTTTGCGGAACTAGGGATTGAACTCAGGCCCTTGCGCTTGCCAGGGAAGCGCTTATTCCACTAAGCCATCTCCCCGGCCTGCCATCTATATTTTGAAATGTGCTTTGGCTTTATTGTTAGGGGAGTAGGCTTTAGAATTTGATGGCTTTGAAATTAAATTCAAACTCTTGCATTAATTAAAATTGACTTAAATATTTTAAGTTTCTAGTTGCTCAGAGGCCTTGTCTGCTAACCCTGAACTTCTCGGGGGTTATTTTAAAAACTAAATGAGACAAGTGTGTATAGAAGGGATTCTTTTGTTTTTTTGTTTTGGTTTTTGTTTTTGTTTTTTTTGTAGTTACAGTATTCAGTGGATGCTCATACTTACTATTATCCTGCCAATGAGAAGTAGAAACTTGCTTTCTATTGCGCCTGCCCCAGTATGGCACTGAGTCTGTGAGGTTCTAGAGTGAGTCTCATGAACATATACTTAAAACAAAAATGAGATGCAGTTGATCAAATTCCATTGTACAGGCCTTATAATGTTTAAAGTTTGGTTTACATTTAGTGACAATTCAGTGGCGATATTACCAGTGATGTTAAACTTAAACTCTAAGCTGGGTGTGGTGGTGCATGCCTGTAATCTTAGCACTCTGAGGAGGCTGAGACAATAGGATCACTGTGAGCTTGAGACCAGCCTGTGCTGTGAAGTAAGCTCAAGGCCAGCCCAAACTGCATCGGAGACCCTGTCTCAGAAAGAAAAAAAGCAAACTCAAACTATCTAAGACTCGTTTTCACCAGTAAGTCAAGTCTTGCTGCCTGGGCTCTGGCAACGATGAGCAGATGGGGCAGGAAGTGCTACAAGGTGACATTGCAGTCTCCTTGAGCCCTCACCCCGCACTGGGCAGTGGCTTCCACCCCCTCCAGGGTTCGAGCCAAGACTCTGATAGGCAATTCTGCAGTGGGCGATTGTTCCATTTAAGGTCTTTAAATTGGATTCTCAATCTATAGATAATGAAATATTTATATTTATGGTGCCCGAAGACATCGGGTTTACATGAAACATCAGCATGTTACAAGCGGAGTACACTACTGAAGATCAGGACTAATACTGAAGCCATTTGAATTTACATAGAAAAATGCTCAAGTTGTTTTTCTTTTAATTTAACTCAACAAAATAGCATCTGCATATGGAGAAAGGGAAGAGTAGGATGGCTTATTTTAATTTTTAAGAGATTGTTTAAAAATTGTATTTATATTTATGATACAGGGTCTTGCTACACAGCTCAGACTCCTAATGATCCTCCTGTGTCAGCCTCCCCACCACTGGGATTTCAGGCATGCTCCAGCAGGCCCAGTTCTGGAGCCAGCACAGCTAGCCCCTGGTTCTGGGGTCGGGATGGCATGTGGTACCAGGGATTGAACGTGGGTCCTTGCGTTTGCCAGGCAGGTGCTTATGCCACCAAGCTATCTCCCCAGCCCTCTTTTGTATTAGTTTTTAAAAAAAGAGTTTGCTTTGAATTTTTTTCTGGAAACTAAAAATTTTCTCATTATACCACACCACTGCATTTAAAAAAAAATTATTTTATTTATTTATTTATTGTTTCTTTTAGGGAAGGGTCTACAAGAGTGTTCAAGGTCTCACTACTAGATCAGACTCATAATGATCCACCTGTTTACAGCCTCCCAAGGGCTGGGATTACAGGCACATGCTAACACGCCCAGTCTCAATTGCCCTCTCAGCACGCCCCAGGGGTAGGGCCAGCAGGCAGGCCAGGGGATTGAACCAGCACCCACCCCCCCCACCCCCCTCCGGCCCCTGTACCTGCTTGCAGGAGCTTTAATCTGCTGAGCTATTTGGCTGGCCCTAAAAAATTTAATTTTAAAGAGAAAAGAAACAAAAAAGAACAAAGACAGAAAGCCCCAGAAGACAATAAAAGTGGCGCAGAATTTCAAAACAACCATTACATTTTTAAAAAAAGTTTTCTAGTACTTCTATAGTGCTTTTCTCTTGTTCTTTGGCATATTACCCCTGGCAGTAGAGAAAGATAACTACGTGACACCCATTGTAGATGGGGCAGCAGCTTCCTTGGGGATGGGATGAACACCACATCTATAGCTGGGAGTATCGATGAGCGGTTCATCACCACCTGTGCTCGTCTGCCTCCCCAGAGAGGGAAAGCCAAGAGGGACCTCCTGCTGTGGGCACAACTTGCATCCAGTTTCCTGGTGGCACTTCCACCTGGAAGCCCTCATTGCTGCACAGAGACATGCATGCACAATTACACAACAAGACAGTGCCTTCAAAGAACTGAGTTCTTAAGCCTAAAATAACTTCATAACTGTCTTCTTTTTCAAATTTTTTTTCATGTCACAGTAATTAGGTTCAATAGCTCTTTAAAAGTATTATAAATGTTTTTTAAATTATATGGTGCTTAGCATAAACAGATTGTCACCTGCTTTCAATTTCACTGTGCCACCTCCAGCCTCTGCATTAACTCAAGGCTCTCAGTCATTTAACTATTTGCATTCTGTACAAATAAATGTGTGCACATGTGCACTTTCTTATTTATATGTGCGGTCACTTCTAGAGTTTGGAACATCTCCACGTTCCCTAGATAAAGGCTGAGTATACATCACACCAGTAATGCCCACAGTGGCTAAGGGATGCACCATAGCATTGCATTTAACATTGTCCTTTCTTTTGTCCCAGGGCCCCTCCCACCGCCACCACCTGTGAACAGAAATGGCAACACAAACCGGGCACTGCCTGCCACCCCTCAGTTGCCATCCAGGAGTGGAGTAGACAGTCCCAGGAGCGGGTCCAGGCCTCCTCTTCCTCCGGATAGGCCTGGTGCTGGAGCACCGCCCCCACCACCGCCATCCACGTCCATTAGAAACGGCTTCCAAGACAACTCAGGAGAAGGTATGTGGTAGCTGTGCATGGAGTTAGAGTTTCTTGTTCCCCATCCTCTTCACAGGGCACTGCACTGATCTAGCCAATCACTAGTCTGCTGGGACTGCAAGTTTAAAATAGCAAACCTTCACCCACTTTTGACAAAGAAAGATCTTTTTTTTCTGACCTGTTCTTTGTTTAAGGCTCATTTTGGTTGACTTTCTAGAGAGTCCAGAATTCTAGAAAGATCCATTTTTTCATCTTACCTTCTTAGTACCTATATTTCTAAAAAGTTGAGTGTAGGAAAGACTCAACAGATCCAAGCCACTTCCCACTGCTGTGTTGTCAGAGTGACCCGGTCATTCCCGGGCCCACTGAGCAAGAAAAGTCTCCCACACCCTAGCTCCTGGCACTGGCTGAATCCGAATCAATCCTGTGTTCAATCTGTAGCTGGGAACAAAAAATCAGTGCAATTTTGCCAGTACATTTTATCAGTGTGCTGGTCAATGACTTTTGTAGCACTTCCAGCTTTTCTGTAAACTAAGCATAACACTAGAACTGGTTTCTGCAGTTCTGTCTGTATTTCATCCTGTGCCTTTCATTACGTAAGTCTCCATAGCAGATTGTCTGTTGCTGAACATACTGTTTGTTTCTACCGTAGATGAGTGGGAAAGCAGATTTTACTTTCATCCGATTTCTGATTTGCCACCTCCAGAGCCATATGTACCAATGAACAAAAGTTATCCCAGCAAATTGTCAAGAAATGAAAGCCGGAGTGAGTATATTTCTACCAGGGATTTCGGCAGATTTGTACTTGAATAACCTGAGTTATCTTCAAGGTGTATAGGAATCCAGGCCTTTTGCCTGGAGTCAGATAGGGAATTCCATTCAGGGCTGTCCAAATCCTGGCAAATTTCCCTTGCATGTGCAGCGAGGAGATTGGAAACACACAGTGTACATGGGACATGGTTACTTTAGCCACGTGCGGTGTGCACACCTATACTCCTGCCACTCTGGGAGGGCCACGCAGGGGAATCACAGTTTGAACCCAGCATGGGGAGCTACTCTTACTTGAACAATCTTCCCTCATTTTGATCTTCCTGAGTAGCAAAAGTAGAGCCACCTTTTATTCCTTTTCATTTTTTTAATGTAAAGTGTTCTGAAATTTTTCATTATTATAAAGAGAAAAAATAAAACAATAATATCAAATTTCAAAACAAGGCAGTAGGAGAATAATAATGACACGAGGACTGGGGTTCGATCCTCAGCATGCCCAAGGGTTCCAGGGCGTGCTGGCACATGCCTGTAATCCCAGTGCTTGGGAGGCTGATAAAAGGAGGATCACTAGGAGTCTGATCCGTGTAGTGAGACCTTGTAGACCCTGTACTAAAAATACATTAATAATAATAGTAATTGCATTGCTTATTGCTATCTTCAAAGTAGTTGCTCAGATTACAAAATACGATAAAAGCACAAACCTTTCTTTTCAGTGAACTAATAGAAATTAGTAGGATAGCTATCTTAACTATTGTATGTGCATATATATTTTCCCTTTTATTTTTTTGAATTTTATTTTAAAGAGGAAAGAAACAAAAGCAATAATAAGAACAAAGACAAAAAGCACCATAAGACAATAAAGGTGGTACAGAACCTCAAAACAAAAGCAGGAAATTAACAGTGGTTGTTATATTACATATTATCAAGTTTGTTGCTCAGACTATAGATACAGGCATGTAAAGTCTATCAAATATTAAAACATTAACTCTTCCTTTCCATAAACCTTGAATTTGTCCTTTGTATTTTTTAAATTTATTTTTAAGAGAGTATAAAAATAAAAGATGAGACATTAGAAATGACAAATCTTCTTTGAAAAAATTGAAAAAAATAAAAACAAGATGCAAGGTATTCCACAGTAGATGTTATAATTCACATTGTGGTCTTCAGTATAGTTACTCAGGTCACAGGTGTTAGTATGTAAAATTGGTCAAAGTAATAATTTTAAGCATTAACTGTTACCTTCAAAAAACTGATAGAAATTAGTACCACAATCATCTTAGCTATCCTATGTATATACTTACATGATTTTTCCCTTCCTTTTTTTTCTGTATCTTTTCTTTTTTCCTTTCTCTCAATAGTTTATTCCCTTTGTTTGGTTTCTTTCCAGAAGTTTTACTATAGCCATTGTACCTTTTAGATTTTATTTATTCCTTCAAGTTCTTATTTATACATGTGGATTTATTTCACTTAGTATAGCTTCTAGGGCTGGCCAAATAACTCAGCAGATTAAAGTGCCTGCTTAGGCAGATGCAGGGGCCAGGAGTTCAATCGCCAGACCTGCCATGCCAGCCCTGCCCCTGGGGCGTGCTGAGACACTGAATGAGATTGGGTGTGGTGGTATACACCTGTAATCCCAGCACTTGGGAGGCTGTAAACAGGAGGATCACGACAAGTCTGATCTATGCAGTGAGACCCTGTAGACTCTGTAGACCCTGTCCTAAAATTAAAAAAAAAAAAAGTTTAGCTTCTAGTTCTATTCATTTATTTATAAAGGCCTTAAGTTTGTCTTTCTTTATGGCTGAGTAATATTCCATTGCATAAAAATATTCTTTATTTTCAGTTGATCAGAACTCGGGTTGTTTCTCGGATTTAGCTATGACAAATTGTGCTACATGGGTTCACATATATAACTGTGGTATAATATTTTTTCTTCTGGGAAAATACCAGAAGCAGAATAGCTGGGAGATCTAATCCCAGATTTTTGAGGAGTCTCCACACTGATTTCCATAGAGGTTGTACCAGTCTACACTCCACCAACAGTGGAGAAGGGTTCCTTTTTCCCTACAGCCCATCCAGCATTTGTCATTAGTTGACTTCTTTATGATAGCCATTCTTTCTGGAATCAGATGGAATCTCAGTGTTGTTTTAATTTGCATTTCTCAAATGAGCAATGCTGTGGGACATTTTTTCATGTATTTATTTGCCATTTGTTTTTCTTCCTCTGAGAAGTGTGTATTCATCTCAGATGCCCACTTTTGGATTGGGTCTGTGAATTTTAGGTGCCTGATTTTTTAAAAATTCTTTATATATTCTAGATAGAAGTCCTTTGTCTGAGTGACTGTTGGTTAAGATTTTTTCTCAGTTTGTGGGTTGTCTTTGTTCTGTTCCTGATTTTTTTTTTTTTTTTTTTTTATGTGTGGAAACTTCTCAATGAGATGAGATCCCAGTTGTTGATTCTGTGAAGTATTTCCCATGCAGTTTGGCTTTTGTTCATGTACTTTCTGCCTACCCTTATGTCTTCAAGATTTCTTTCTCTTTTCCCCCATCCCAGTTTCTCTGGCCTTCTGAAAAGTTTCTTCCCATTTCTCAATATCTATTGTACATTTTGAATATTATTTACTCTTTCAGCTTTTTACACTAGGGAAACAATACAATATTTACACATGCAAGACTGACTTATTTAACTTATGAGTATGATCTCTCAAATTGCATCCATTTATCATTTCTAAAGTTTATCCTTCATTATAGCTGTGTAGTACTCCATTGTATAAAAATACCAGATGTTTTTATCCATTCTTTGGTTGGTGAATACTTGAAAGAATTATTAAGTGACTTTTCTGTGTACCAAAAGTAGAACTCAGGACCTCACAGTTACTAAGCAGGTACTGTGCCACTGAGCTAATCCCACTAACTTTGAGACCTACAGAATATTTTGTTACAAAAATTTACTGTCTTGCCTTAATCTTTATTTATTTATTTTTGTATTTTAGGAAAGGGTCTACAGGGTGTTCAGGGTCTCACTACTAGATCAAACTCATAGTGATCTACCTGTTTACAGTCTCCTAAGACCTAGAATTACAGGCATGTACTACCATGCCCAGTCTCAATTGCACCCTGGGAGCGGGCCGGCACAGCAGGCCTGTGGATCGAACCCCCCACCCCCACCCCTGTGCCTGATTGCAGACATTTTAATCCACTGAGCTATTTGGCTGGCCCTGCCTTAATCTTTTAAATGTATTACCACCAAAGCTTTATGTAACATTCTGTGAAAATGTTAAATATATCTATAATGTCTCCCCAAAACAGATTTTACCAGGCTCTCTATTATTATCCATACAATTAAGTCAGATGTGATGGCACTCAGCTATAATCTCAACACTTGGGATACTGAGGCAGAAGGATCACCATGAGTTCAAGGCCAGCCTGGACTATATGACAAGACTGTCTTGAAAACAAAACAAAACTTATCCATGCAATTCATATTTCTTACATAGTTGTAATGACAAGGTATAGATTCTTTTGATGGTGAGGTTTATATAACACTGCTTAGTAAACACTTTCCACTTTATCACATAGTTTTTATTCCATAGAAATGCATCAACCCAGCAGGCAATAATTTAGCATGCCTGGACATCTAGATTGTTTCTGGTTGTTTAATATGTTATGGTGTTGTCTCAGTTACTCTTCTCTTGTTGCTGGGACAAATACCCGACACACAAAATGAAGGAAGGAAAGGTTTATTTAGCTCACAGTCACTGGAGGTTTCAGTTCATACTCGGCTGGCTCCAAGGCAGAGCGGCACATGGCAGAGAGCAACCTTTCATGGCAGCAGCAAAGAGCAGAGAGCAAAGTAGAGGAGTAGCAGCAACAATGGCTACAGAGAGGAAGTCTGTCTCCCTTAAATTGCATTCAGGCTATATGCCCCAGGCTGGGTGTAGTACTCACATCCATAATCCCAGCAGTACTAAAACCTATAACCCCAGTGGATTATGAGTTAATCTCAACTCTAGAAGTCCATGCCCCATGACAGCATGAGGCTTTGGGGAGACAACTGGACACAAACCATAACTGGTGCCATAAAGGAGGAAATCACTTTCCCCATTGAAGAATAAATGTGGCCAGCTACCCTGCGCCTGCGGGACCTACCGGTCCCAGCCCAGGCGCAGGGTGGGTGAGACCCTCTTCCACCCCCTTGGGATGCCCCCCACCACTCCGCAGCACCTCCCCCCCCTCGCCCGCCGAGTAGGAATTTCTGCCGCGTTCCGGGAACCCCCAGATCCAGTCCTAGCCCAGGGCCAGTGAGTGTGTGGGAGAGCTGCCTCTCCCTGCTACTCCACCTTGTCCCCTCCAGACTCAGCTGAGGCCTGGCAAAGAGGCCTAGGGTGAAACCCTGCAGCTGCAATACCTGCAGAGAGTGAAGGTGACAGAACCACCCAGCTAGTCCAGGAGCAGAGCATCTTGCCAGAGGGGCACAACAGGTTCAACCCCAAGGACAGCAACAGGAAGGACCTGAGCACAGCAGCCAGACCCAAGCCAGACACAACTGGATAAATCCAAACTTTGTAGATCTGCACCTGAACTTCAGTAGGTGCTAAGGTTATAACTGCACCAAAGCTCTACAACAAAGGTCAGAAGACAGTGCTACACAAAATGACAATGAGAAGGAGCAAAATGCAATCTCAGACCCCAAGCCCACCCATAACAAGTGTAGAGGACACTAACACAGAACAAATTGGGAATCACATAGCTGAAATCAATGAATCAATGGCTTCTGAAATAAACAACTGCAGAAAGGTATAGAGGAACTCAGATTGGAAATGAAAAAAGAAATCCCTGAATTAATAACATCTACAGTAAAGAATCAAATGCAGAAACATATGGAGGAAACCCAATGCCCACCCAGGACAAGTGCAGAGGACATTAGCTCAGCTCAAATGTATGAATTAATAGCATCAATAGCGTCAATAGTAAGTAAGCAATACCAGAAAGTTATAGAAGAACTCAAAACGGAATTCTTTTCTGAAATAAAAAAAGAATTCTCTGAACTCATAGCATCTGAAGTAAAGAATCAACTATAGAAACATAGGAAACTCAATCTGAAGAAAACACGGCAGTAAAAGAACTAATAACTGCTTCTAAAGAAGACATTGATAAAAAAAAATAGAGAAGATTAGAAAAATGATGGATTCCTCGAATGAACAATACAGGAAAGAAATAGATCGCATGAAGCAGAGTCAAAGAGGAATTTAAAATCTCAATCACAAGCTTGCATAGCCGTTTAAATGAAAGTGAAGATAGAGTTTCAGATCTTGAAGATGCCAGTGCAGCTAGTGAAAAGGTAAGAAAGGATCTCTTAAAAACAACTAGGATGCAGGAAAAATAATCCATCACCTGCAAGATGATGCAAAGATGAACAATGTGAGACTAATAGGCATCAATGAGAAAGGAGTCAATACAAGTGACATTAAAAAAATATGGGCAGAAGTAATAGCAGAAAACTTCCCAAATATGAGGAAACAATCTGACATTCAGGTAACCAAAGCATACAGAATGCCAAGTAACCTCAAACTAATTAAAAACACACCAAGACATATAATAGTCAAGATCCCAGAAATTCAGGAGAAGAATAATCTACTGAAAATTTTAATTTTATAGCTGCTCAAGAAAAGGCTGGGTTGGGATCGTGAGGGTTTGACCACTCAGAGGACTGCCAGGGTTTTCCAACATCTCTCCTTGCCCAGAGATTTGCTCTGGTCTCAGAGTCCCTCAGTCCATAGGGTCACTGTCAAGACCCTCAGGAAGAAGCCCCCACCACCCACCTGCTGCCAGCCCTGTGACTCTCAAAGCAAGTTGGCCAAGTCGGGCCTACTCACTTGCCCTGTGCCCCTGGGAAACCTGACCACAGCCTCCACCCTGCTTCATGCCACACCTGCTGCAGCCCCAAAATGTGAATGGGTGCTAGACCTGGTTTAAAATGCAGTGATAGTCCGCAAATGTGCACCGCTTGAAAAAGAGTGAAAGGCGCCCCACACAATGGGAGGAAGTATTTGGAAATTATGTATTTGATAAAAGATTAATATTTGAAATATATGAAGAATTCCTACAGCTAAACAATAATAAAAGCATAGCCTTCAGTTCATGATCATGATAATTGGGTGTCCACACTATATGCCTGAGATGTGCCTTCCTCAAGCCTTGTTACAAGCCCTTCTGACTTAAGAAAAAAAACTACTGAACAATAAATACTTGGGCTGGGGAGATGGATCAGTAGAATAAGCACTTCCCTGGCAAGCGCAAGGGCCTGAGTTCAATCCCCAGTTTCACCAAAAAAAAAAAAAAAAGAAAGAAAAAAAGAGAACAATACTTAAATAGACATTTCTCTGAAGAAGACATACAGAATGCCGATAAGCACATGAAAAGATGCTCAACATCGCTAATCCTTAGGGAAATGTGTTAAAAGTAAATCTGCAGTGAGATACGATTTCACACCGTTGACCTACCTTATCCGGCAAATGAAGTGATTAGATAAAAGGAGGGTATAGTTTTATATAGTAGAATGCAAATATGCCATTCATAGTTATATCTGCAGAGAGTACTGGCTACATGCAATCCTATTCCTAGAAGAAAAAGGAAAATGATTTCTAAATGGAAACCATACACATAATTGCTACTGGGTATCTCTGGGTGGTGCAAGCATGGGGGAATTTTTTATTCTGTTTTTGTTCATATTTTCTAAATCTATAATCAACACACTGTGTCGTAAGAAGAAAACCATGTGTTTTGGCTGAGCCTTGTGCACATCAGTAGCAAGTGGTGGCCACCGTCTGGTGGCGCTTGTTCCCATCATTCCATGCTGCCTTTCCCATCCACGCATGCCAGGTAGCCTCAGCCTTGGTCACAGGGGATGAGGTAGTGGGTACCTTTGCAACCACCCCTAGTTTCCACAGTAGAGTATAAACTTTCTAACCAAAATTGTATTCTGTCTGTTTTCTCATCAAGGTGGATCCAACCGAAGAGAAAGGGGTGCCCCACCTCTCCCTCCCATCCCAAGGTGATCCTTGCCTGCTCTCCTCTCTCTAGGCTCCAGAGCGCCTTCTGTTGTTGCTGTCTGAGAATTGCATATCCTCTTCCCCTTCCTCTGTCACCATCATTTGTGGCAGACCGAAGACGAGAGGGTGAATTTGTATGTGAAGCGGGTTGGGACCCAGTAGAGAAATGCACCTAGCTTTTTATGTTCTGTATATTCCCACAGCTATAGCCTGCTTCAGCTACAGCCTGCCAGTGTTGGGTGTGCGATCCATAGACTTCTGTACGAATAGGTAGAGACCCATTGTATCTGGGCCCGCAACCCAACATTCCCTGCCTTTGCTACAGGCTGTAATTATGAAAGCCCCTGAGAGCTGTTATTGCCCATGCTTTTCTCATAAGCTTGGCCTCCTGTGAGTCTGTTTTCACGAACCACAGACCGCCAAGGCAAGTTGCTGAGCAAGGGTTCACACAAAGCTTTTGCAGTCATTGAATGTTCATTCTTGGGCATTCCAGGGTAGGCTCAAGGACAGAGCTGTCCAATAGAAATATAATGTGAACCCCATATATGCTTTTAAAATTTCTACTAGGCACATTTTTGTAAAGGTAAAAAGAAACAGGAGAAATTAATTTTAATATATTTCACTTAGACCTATACATCCAAAACATCATTTCAACCTCTCGCCCACTTAAGAATTATTAGTGAGATATTTTACAGTGCTTTTGGTACCAAGTCTCCAGATCAAGTGTGAATTCTATGCTTAGAGCACAGCACCCTTCAGACCAGCTCCATGGCAAGTGTCTGTGGCCACATGTTCTCAGTGGCCAATCTGTTGGATGGCACTGGTCAGGAAGATGGAAGTTAGTGTCAAAACCTCTTGTTTAAGGCTGGGGAGATAGCTCGGTGGTCTAAGTGCCTGTGGCAAGTGCAAGGACCTGGCTTTGATCCCCGCTACCACATGCCACACCAGCCCCAGAATCCCAAGTGCGCCTTGTCGGCCACCAAGACCAGGCATGGTGGCACACACTGTAATCCCAATGCTGGGGAGGCTGAGACAGGATGATCACTAGGAGTCTGAGCTATGTAGTGAAACCCTGTACCAAATAAATAAATAAATCTTTTTTTAAAAAATCTCTTGTTTAAAGAACCAAAATAGGATGCGCATTAGCAATTCAAGAGGACCTAAAAGCAAAGCTGGGGACCAGCACTTGCTGGCAGGCAGCTTGGCCCCAGATATCGGTCCCTTCTTCTTCCTCTTCCTTTCATGTCTGTGTGCAAGTGTTGCTTCACAATGCCAAGGCCAGACATTGATCTCACGCGGTTTACACTCACGTGGAATAAAGCCATCGGAAAGAAACAGAAAGCTGCGGGGCTTCCAGGCTTAGCACGGCTGCCTGAGCACCCACCTGACACCTGCCTCGCAGAATCAGAGTGGCCTTTGTTCTCTCCCTGTGCGCAAGCTCCTGGGACCAGGAAGCGTCAGGGAGGCCCGGCAGGAGGGAAGGAAAGAGAAAGGCATCAAGATAAAAGTGCAGAGATGCATAGCAGATTTGCGTTGATGGGCACAGCTCGTGAAAATCTAGTTCTGACGCTTATGGGATTGGGCAAAATGGGGGGCTTACTAGTAGAATTGGGGAGTGGGTTACTTTGACTCTATCCAATAGAATAATTTGTTCTAGATCTATGCAAATAAAGCTCCACTAATGGACCAGAAGGAAGAGCCAAGCTTGCCTTTTTTATGTGATTTTGTTTACAAAATTTTACTGAGACTTTTAAATTTAGCTCTAGAGTTGGAAAAAAAATTCCACTTTGATGTTTTATATGATTTTGTTGAAGATTGCCATTATCCACTTTTAAAAGCACATGATCACATATGTATATGTATATCTACCTAAACTTTGTATCAGTTTATTGCATTCAGTGTATCGTTCATGTATTACTAGGAGATGCTAACAAGAAATCAATCCAAAGAAAATTTTGAGGACGCATCCCTATTTATAGACTTAAATGTTTCATCTATATAAAAGCAGAACTTAAGAGTTCTAACAAATGGAATGTTTAATAAATTCTGAAGTTGCTGATTTGACTGTACTGTACTTGTATAACTAACTCCCCTTGCCAAAGGCCTGGGCTGAGTACATTAGAGAATTTGTTTTCTTCCCCCTGCTCTGCCATTGTTCTGTCTATGGCTATTGTCACTTGGGGCTGTTACTCTAAGAGAATCAAGGAGTATAAAGGTATATAACAAGCTTTTTCAAAAATATTTTTAAAATTTTAATGCTAATTTGCTAATTTAGCTGCATGATTTTATTTTAGATTCTTTGTTCTGATGTCAACAGTGACTAACACCTGTATGATAAAGCCTAATGACCCAAGTCACAAAAAAATAGCACTGAGCCTTCCTAACAGATTGACAGAGGAAGGGTCAGTGAGATAGCTCAGTGGACTAAGCGCCTGCTTAGGCAAGCGCAGGGACCAGGGTTCGATCCCCAGCACCACAGGCCACACTGGCCCTGCCCTCTGCACACCAAGATGAGGCCTGGCGGCGCACCCCTGTAATCCCAGCTCTGGGGAGGCTGAAAACAGAAGGATCGCTATGAGTCCGAGCTGTGTAGTGAGACCCTGTACCAAAAACATTTTTTAAAAAAATTGGCAAAGCAATGTGCAACTCAAAGTAGATCTGAATATTGTAAAAGGTAAAATTGTAAAGGGAATTGGACAAGTCCTTATATATCTCAATCTTGCCAGTACCATTTCTAAAGTAGAAAACAGTAACAGCTCAAAGTTGCCTTTCATCCAGAATAGAGATGTTTTAGAATATATTTAAAGGAAACAATTCATGAATACACCTATACTCTTTCTCTGAAAATTAGCAAGTAACTGCATCCACAACTTTGAAAAAGTTTTATATGAAAATCTTGGGGCTGGGGAGATGGCTCAGTGGAATATGCGCCTCCCTGGCAAGCACAAGGGCCTGAGTTCAATCCCTGGTTCCAAAAAAAAAAAAAAAAAAATCTTCAACTTTAGAAAATCATAAAAATGAACAATTTTTTCCCTTAAAATCAGAATGTACATGTATTTTTTTCTATATGGTTTCTAAATAAATGTATTCAAGAGCCAATACAGTATTTTAACATTCACATATCATTTTATATTGAAATGTATTACAGTATTAAAATTCAGTGTTTGTATTTATTTCATTACGCATTTTATTTAGCAACGCCAAGAAAAATATTTAATCCAATGGTGCCTTATTTCATGATTTGAAAAAAATCAACTTTTTATGTCTAAGTAGCAGATTATTTGCCTATTGTAAAATCTGTTAGGCCTTTTATCTTTTAACTTGTAATACCAATTTTGTTATTTTAGTAGCAGGAATGAAATGGTTGTTAAAGCACCCTAACATTTTGGTATGAAATTCATTTTTTCCCTGTTTACAGGCAGGGACTATAGAAGATGAAAAATAGAAATAGAAGAAGAAAAATATTTTTTCATGCCATTGCACTGTGTGAACAGATGCATCTCAGCATCTGTGTCATCGGGATAGTTTAAACGCTGGGGTAGACTCTACCCTAGACATCTGTGTCTATGTAAATCGGCCAGACAATAAATAAAAGCAGGAATGATACAGTGTCACCTGGTGGTTTTTCTTTGAGTATTGTCTATGTAAACAAAAAAAGAAGCAAATGCGTGTTTTCTGTTTTATACTGTGTGGTAAGAAAGTCGAACGTAAAAAACAAAACACACATGGGAAAATAAAGGCTGTGGAGATCCACACAAGTAAACATTCATCACACCTTGCCAGACCCTTTCTGTCTGTTTTTCTGAGAACCCGCATCTCAGTCTGTGCAATGGATAGTGGAAGCTATGGAGGCTAGCACAGACGCTGAGCGATCTTGGCAAAGCCACGGCGAGCTTAAGCCTCTCATTATCTGCCCTGTATGCGCACGCTGTGTCCACATTGTCTCCACATGGCCCACATGGCCCAGTAGTTAGGAACCTAGGGAGACCTGGCTCTGTCTCTTTCTTGCAAGTTGCTCTTCCCAGTTTCTGTAGCTAGAGTGAGGAATAGGCAGCAGCATCACTGTGTGCATTACTGAGACGATGCACCCAGCGCTGACTGACTAAGCATGCGCAGTAAACTGTAGCTGCCCAAATGAAGAAAGCTCCTTAGGCGGTGTTCCTGCCTTCCCTAGAACCAGGTCAGCTAGAAGCTGATTTATCAGTGTATTTTTAAAGGAAAATAGCAGAAAAATGCCCATGTCAGAAATGCAGTGTACCTTGGATACACCTCCAGCAAAGGTACTGCCGATTCCTGCGTATCACAGCCTGGAAAATGACTCATTCCTTCCTTCATCGATGAAACATTATTACATTCAATTTGCAATTAAAGGAATTAGAAGCCAAAGAAACACTAGAAGAGGCCACTGATAGCACTTGCAGTCCACAGTGAGGCACTTCGATTGGAAGAGGTGTTCTTGTAGTTGCCATGACAGCAGGTATATGCTGGGGCCTGGCCGTGTGGTCACCCCACACCAAGGTACCCAGTCCAGCCCTGCTGTCCTATGGATGGGCAGTTCAAGGACCCAAGTTTTTCAGCAGATACACCGTGTGGTACTTGACTGCCCCACACTCCTGTCTTTATGACACACACCCATTTTCTGTGTCTACGTTTTCTACAGAGGATTGCCCTTTGCACTCAAATCTGGATTTGAGTTCTAGCTCCGCTGCTTGCCTTCCACAGAGCCACAGTGAAGTTATTCAAACTCTCTGATCTCTTTCCTTCAAGAGCCGAATGGCTACAAAGCTTAAATATACAAAGACCAAATACTACCATAGGTTAGGTGCTTAATGAAAGCTAATTCTTTCATTTCCTAATCCTCCTACCACCAATCTAGGCCATATTGAGAAAGGAATTCTCAATGAAAAAAAAAAAAGTCTGACAACTTAGAAGTAAAAGTCCCCTGGCAAGCATAAGGGCATGAGTTCAATCCCTGGTTCTGGGGGAAAAAAAAAAAGTAAAAAATTTTAAAACACCTCATTTGCCCAAACCAAGACCACTTACATGATTCATTCATCCAGTCACTAAATTATCAGTGACTGCTTGCTGTGGGGCAGCCTCATGAGAACAGTCTAAGTGGCACCTCTATGTCTACACTCATTCAGTGGTCTCTAAGTAGCAGGTAGGAGGCCACCACCTGTCCCACTATGTGTGGCTACAGTCATTCTCCCAGCCAATGTAGGGCTCTGTAAAGAGGAAATGAACATTTCATAGATGTGTGTCCACTCATGACACCACCTTAGGTAATGTATTTGGTTTCCTCTCATGAGCTCCATGGTTGGGTAAATCACAATCATTTTTTAAAATTGTTTTAACCTACAGGAAGGAGGGGGACAGTATATAGAAGGTGTCTTTTGTTTTGACTAATTTGAAAAGTAGACTCAAGGGTTTCCATCGTCTTAAACATTCCAAACAACTGAGTTTCCCTAGATGCATAGTTGACACCAGCTTAGAGTGGCCCTTTTTTCCCTGAAGTCTTTACAACCTCCACTCTGAACACTTGGCATCTCTGCCACTCCAGCTAACAGAGATGTTCCCTATTGGGGTTTAGAAATGTCCTGCCCACCAACATTATAGCACAAATCTCTGTCTTCCAATGTTCCTTACATTATTACAAAGCCCTCAAGAAGCAAATTAAACTCAAACTTCGGGGCCCCAACTTTAGGGGGAACTCCTTCTAATTAAGAAATTTTACACATACCTTTTTATTTGTGACCTTTTATTATTTCTCTTAAAGCCTCCTAAACTATCACTTCAAGCCTTACAAAGCCTGCTTCTGCCCTTACATTCTTGTCCTTCTTAGTGTCTGACACAGAACTCAGTCTTGAAAACTTTCTTAAGCCATCAGTTTCTCATGAGTGACATAAGTGCTCTGACAGATGGAGATGGCAAA